GTCGACCCGAGTCTTGTACTTGGTATTGCTCTCATGAATGGTATGTTTCACCTGCTCATGGATACCCCGAAGATACTTTGCCATCTCATCTGCTTTAGGACTGAAATGTCCTATACGTGGAATAGGGGCTAAGTCCAACACCCCGGATGGGTTCTGACCATAGACAATCTCAAATGGGCTTAAACCTGTGGTTCTGTTTTTTGATATGTTGTAGGCAAATTCTGCCTGAGGCAATGCCAAATCCCACTGCTTCGGCTTCGTTCCTGCCAAACACCTTAAAAGGTTTCCCAAACTTCGGTTCACCACCTCAGTCTGGCCATCCGTCTGGGGGTGGTAGGCGCTACTGAAATTCAACTGCGTTCCCAGTTTCCCCCACAGGCTCTTCCAGAAATGACTGATGAACTTAGTATCACGATCTGAAGTGATGGATCGAGGAACACCATGTAAACACACAATCTCCTTGAAATAGAGATGGGCAATCCGGTCAGCATCCATAGTCTTTCTGCAAGCTACAAAATGAGCCATCTTGGAAAACCTGTCAACCACAACAAAGATAGAATCAGAGGCCCATTGGGTACGGGGTAAGCCTAGTACAAAATCCATGCTGACATCGAACCAAGGAGCTTCAGGAACAGGTAAGGGAGTGTACAATCCCGCATTGGTGAGAACTCCCTTAGACCGCTGGCACACATAACAACGGTCCACATAATGGGCCACATCACTAGTCAACTTGGGCCAATAAAATTCAGAAGAGATAAGGGTCAATGTCTTATCTCGGCCAAAGTGTCCCTCATTATGGAGTTCACTTATAATTTGATGCCTCAATGAACAATCTGGAATGCACAATTGTAATCCACGAAACAGATACCCATTATGCAAAACAAAATCATGACGGTGACCCTCAGTTACCTCCTGAAATATCCTTCCAAAGGAAGGATCAGCTGCATACATATCTGTGAACGTCTCAAATCCTGCAACTTTAGTACTCATGGTGGTGAGAAGTAAGGTACGACGGCTCAGGGCATCTGCGACGTGGTTCAAACTCCCTGCTTGGTGCCTCAGCGTAAAAGTGAATTCTTGCAAGTATGCTACCCACTTGGCATGACGTCTACTCAGCTTGTGTTGGCCATTGATGTACTTCAAGGCCTCATGATCGGTAAACAGAATAAACTCCTTCTGTACTAGGTAGTGACGCCAATGCTTCAGGGACTAAACTATGGCATAGAACTCCAGATCATAAGTGGAATAATTTTTCTTTGATCCCAATAGCTTTTCACTGAAAAAAGCAACCGGACGACCTGCCTGACTCAGAACACCACCAATGCCAATGCCAGATGCATCACAATTTACCTCGAACACTTTGTCAAAATCTGGAAGTGCCAAAACTGGAGCCTCGGTCATCTTCTGCTTGACCAGTTGAAAACTGGCCTCTGCCTCCTCAGACCACTGGAAATCACGCCCCTTGAGGCACTCTGTGATAGGGGCGATCAGAGTACTGAAATTTCTAATGAATCGACGGTAAAAAGACGCCAAGCCATGGAAACTTCGGATGTCATGTAAGGTTCTTGGTCTGGGCCACTCCAAGACTGCATCTATCTTTGACTGATCTGCATGAACACCATCAGTAGACACAACAAAACCAAGAAAAGTCACAGAAGTAGTGAAGAAAGAACACTTCTTTTGATTGACAAACAAGCACTCCGTTTTCAGCATCTCAAAAACAGCACGGAGGTGATCGAAGTGTGAAGTCCATGTCGGACTATAAACGAGGATATCATCGAAGTAAACTACAACAAATTTCCCCATAAAAGGCCGCAAGACCTGATGCATAAATCTCATGAATGTACTGGGCGCATTGGATAACCCAAAAGGCATGACCATCCACTCATACAACCCTTGTGGCGTTTTAAACGCCGTCTTCCACTCATCTTCAGGCCTTATTCTGATTTGGTGGTAACCGCTCTTAAGGTCAATTTTTGAGAAGATCTTAGAACCAGATAGCTGATCCAACATATCATCTAGACGGGGAATTGGAAACCGGTACTTTACTGTAATTCTGTTGATCGCTCGGCTGTCAACACACATACGCCAAGAACCATCTTTCTTTGGCACTAACAGAGCAGGGACTGCACATAGGCTCATACTCTCTCGGATATAGCCCCTCTCCAACAACTCTTCCACCTGTCGCTGCAACTCTTCGGCCTCCTTGGGACTGAGGCGATATGCTGGTCGATTTGGCAAACTTGACCTAGGAACAAGGTCAATTTGATGCTGAATATCCCTCATAGGTGGTAGTCCAGGAGGAATATCCTCTGGCATCAAGTTAGAGAATTCTGCTAGCAGCCGCTGCACCTCTACTGGTAAATCTGTATCCACGTCTACTGTATTGTTCTCGCAAGGTAGCAAGGCATAGACCACGCCGCCATGCTCAATCTCATCTAAAAACTTGGACATAGAAAGCAGATTAGTATTATGGGTTACTGGGGTAGGAGTAAGTCCTTCCCGCCGGGGTGCCAACACAATCTTTTTTCCCTTGATGCTAAGGGAATATGTATTCTTCCGTCCATCATGAATGACACTGCGATCATACTGCCAAGGTCGACCCAAGAATATATGACACGCATCCATAGACACAACATCACACCAGGCATTATCAAAATATTTTCTACCAATTGAAAAGACACGAGGCATCGCCTATCAACTGTTACCTCACTGTCTTTATTTAGCCATGACAACTTGTATGGCTTAGGATGACGGTCCGTCTTCAACTGCAATTTCTGGACAACCTCCTCGGACACTACATTCTCACAACTGCCGCTGTCAATGATCATTTTGCAGACTTTATCTGCAACTGTGCAAGTCGTGTGGAAAATATTGGTTCTCAACCAATCGTCCCCTGAATCGCCCTTGGGGGTAAGTAGACTCTTGCGAACGACCAGAGTCTCATGACCATCTCCATACAGCACATCACCAGTCTCATCATCGTCATACACGGGTTCGCCAATCTCCTCAGTCTCGTCTTCCACGTTTTCCTCAATCAACAAATTTTTGCCCTTTTGACTAGCAGGCTTCCTGCAATCAGTCGCCCTATGCCCTTGTTCACCACAACGAAAACATCTAATAGTAGGGTTAGAATTACCCTGCGGTGGCTGCTGAGCAGGACGTGACTCTTGAGGGCGAACTGGTCGACTGTTGTGATCGCTCCTGATCACTGGTCTCCTGTTTTGCTGTTTTTCAACAGCAAGTGCACGCTGGTATGCTTCCGAAACACTCCACAATGAATGAAGGCTGAGGACATCTTGCAAGGGCTGGCGTAAACCCCCCAAATATCGCGCCACCATCTGCTCCTCCGTCTCAGATAAATCGTTCCGGGCGACCAATTGGTAAAACTCCTCCGTGTAATCATCGACTGATCGCGCGCCCTGCCTCAACGCATGAAGTCGCTGAAATAAGGTTTGCGTGTAGCCGAAGGGAAGGAAGTGGCCCTTCATCTTCTTTTTCATCTTCTCCCAATCAGTGATCTTGGCTTTGCCCTGTCTTTCTCGTGAACGTCGTAACTGTTCCCACCACGCAGATGCTCTGCCCTTGAGTTTGATGGCGATCATTTTCACTTTCACACGATCGGGGACTTCCTTATATTCAAAAATACGCTCCACTTCATTAATCCAATCCACGAATCCCTCGGCCTGTAATGTACCAGAAAACTCAGGGAGATCGACCCGAAAACCGAGGTCTCCATGACGCTCCTCCCGACCACGGTGCTCCCGGAATCCTGCGCCCCGGAATCCTGCGCGATTGTGATATGGGTTTTCGAAAGTGGAATTAGTATCGTGATCAGAGGCCTCACGATCCTCGAAATCCTGCGCCGCCAGGCGCTGGGTTAATTCTGCGACTTGCCTCTGCAAATCCGCAATCATCACATCCTGAACGCTGCGATCACGGCGTTGGGCTTCCTCATTCGGAACCTGCTCACGACGACCACGACCACGACCTCCAGCAATTGAAACTGGTGAAATTTCCCAAGAAGATGTTGAAGCTCTGACACCAACTGACGCCAGACAGAATAGTGATTATCCTGTAGGCTAGTTCCGACAGACGATTCACAAGAGAAAATTCGCCCTAAAACTAGAGAAAAAAAGTCTCTAGGGTTTAATAAAATATTATAAAATCAAACAATGCAAAAAGCAGTCCACAAGCCGGACTGTTATAGCAAAAAAATCGTCTTTATTCGAATTTTGCCAAAAATAGCAAAATCCCGAAAATCACTCTAAATTGAAATTCGAAATAAAATAAGCAATCTCCCAAAAATCCGGCCTAAATCGGATTTAAATTGACTTCCTAATTAACAATCGAAATATTACCATAAATAGTAAAAAATAACTAAATCTAGTGATTCGGAGGGGAAAACGGCAGAATTTGAGGTTGAAAAAAAGGCCACATGGAGCGTAGCTGTGGAGAGCGTGCGCGTCGAAAAGAGCTTTCCGGATTGGGGTCTTATGCGCGATTCTGACACCTGTAGCCAAAGTTATGGCCAAAAAACTGAAACATACTCAAAACGACCCCAATGAGGAACATATCACAATTAATTCCCGCCTTTGCGCTGATCTGCCAACTCATGGTATCTCAGCGCCATCAACGTGCAATCTGACAGCTCAGCATCATCTGTCTCGGATCCCCCTGCATCAAAACTTCTCCATAGATTAACTTCAAAGCCATTTCATAATTTTCTATCAGCAAGTTTCCTCTTTTCTAAGCATTATATTAGATGCTATATGATTATCCAAACCTGAAATGTCTACGACATACACACATGATACCCATGCATGCATACATACATACATACATATGTATGTGATGTAAAGGAAGTGGTTTCTTACATACATGCATACAAGCATACCTACAGTTACACTTGTTGCTGAAACTGGCCCACCTTTGAAACAATTTTCCTTCTATAAAAGCTCTTCATTTGTGCCTTCCTCCCTTACCTTCAAAGTCATCAACAATCATTCACTACAACATATTGAACCCTTCTTCGGCTTCAGGCACCGACTTCCACAACATAAAAACCATGGTTCCCAGTGAACTCAGAGGACTTCACTACCTAGCACTGGAAAACCCGATCCTTATTCCGGGCAACCTTGGCATGATGCAAAACTCTATACCATATTCTCACTTCAATACATTCTTTAACAGCCTTCCGAATTCCCACATCACACCCTCTTCCCTCGAGTTCGCCGCGTTGTCCTCCAGTATCAGCAACAATTCAACTTCAGATGAGGCCGAGGAGCAACAGGTAAATGTCATCGACGAGAGGAAACAACGGAGAATGATATCCAACAGAGAGTCCGCTCGTCGGTCAAGGATGCGGAAACAGAAGCACCTGGATGAACTTTGGTCACAGGTCATCAGGCTTCGTAATGAGAACCACAATCTCATAGACAAGTTAAACCATGTATCGGAGTCCCATGACCGTGTCCTTCAAGAGAATGCAAGGCTCAAGGAAGAAGCTTCCGATCTTCGCCAAATGCTGTCCGATACTAAAATCAGCAGTCCTTATTCCCTTGCATTCAGAGAGCTGGAAGAGGTCCCCTGCAATACTGCTCACTTGAAAGCTGAGTCCACAAATCAATCTATTGCTAGCTCTGTTGACTTGCTTCGATAAGAGTCATCTTCCCATATATATATACACATATATATAATACATGTTCCTCAGTTTGTTATGGCTGTATGGGACTATAATCCAACCATGCAATAACATCTTTTGATCATATTTTCATATAACTCATCTGCAGCTCTTCTCGCCGCATAAACACTAATCCGAAAACGATAAAACCAACATGTGCATCAGCAGTGGTCCATACTCAGAAACAAATCAAACACTCAATCATGCAATTAATAAAATAATCATTTTATGAACCCCATCAACTTTAATAATATAATTTCACCTAAGATATGGAATAGGTAATAATTTTGACCTATAACATGAATTATATATATATATATATATAACCAAATATACTGCTTCTAGAGTGGTGGCCCCATAGCCAGGCCAATTCTCCATAGCTGTTCACAATAACAGGGGGCAAGAGGACAAATGGTGGTGGAAAGTGGTGTTGCTAGTGGATTCATCATTGAAAATAGTTACTGTAACTGAGAAAAACATTTTGTAAAAGGCTATCCACTAAATATGACCCCCCCCAAAAAAAAGTACTATTTTTTTACATCAATTGGCTTGGTCTTAAAGAGTTTTCATCTCCCAGCTTACGTTGTTTTTTCACCAAAAAGGAACCGAAGCACAACCTACGGTTCAGGTGCTGGTTAACAGTGATCCCACTGCATAAAGAGTAAGTTTTATCCACAAAACCTGCAGGCTTTGCTTGTCCTTTAAAGGGACAAACAAGTAAGGCTGAAGACTCTAAAGCAGTTCACAAGTTTTCCACTTTTTGGAAGTATGTTTTAAATATCTCCCCAGAAAACTCAAGCATGGCATGTTCACCATCTCCACTTCCTGGGATATCTTTCACTAACCCAACATTGTCCAAATCCAGTAGGTCATCATCTTCATATTATTCCACCTTGAAAAAGCCCAGAACTACGGCCAAAGAAGTGCACTCATTTGTCTATTCTGGTTTATGCTCTCATGACACGGCCTAATGTATTAGTTGATTCTAAAGGTGCACCTGAAGATGCATTGTTCAACTGCATAAGACTCTAATTATAATCCTAATGTATTCAAGATTTGGTACTTTCTTTCCAAAATTATATCTCAATTGTTTTAGATTGAGTTGGAGGATCCATTGGAGAATGTTGGAGTTAAATTAGTGAGGCAAGCTGGTGCGAAAACAAATGACCTTGCTGGTGATGGTTGCATTACCTCTATATTGTTCATGGTTAAACTAATGAAGGAAGGTGTCAAGGTAAGAACCAGATATATGGAGAACTCTTTATGGAAGGTGCAAATCCAATAGTTTTGTTTCTTCCAGGTAGTTTCAGCTGGAATGAATCCGGTTCAAATTGCTTGTTTCTGAACTCAAATTGATGTACATAGAGGTGCATAACTATATTGATTATGATATTTCTTATAGGTGCTTATCTCGGACTTGGCTTGAAGTGAGAATGGACGATACGTTGCGGGTTGAGGATCATGAACTTACACATTTTGCGACTGTTACTACTGGAAATGATTATTCAGTGGGAAAAATGATCTCGGATGCTCTTCAACAAGTCGGAAGGGTGTAGTCAAAATCAAAAAAGGAAAATGTATCGAGAACAAATAGAGATGATCGAAGGAATGCTGTTCGATCGAGGATATTTGTCTACTTACTTTGTCATGGATCGAGAAAAGATGATCATTGAATTCCATACTTGCAAGGTATAAGCATTACTCGATCATTCAGGTATTTCAACCGTCATACAGCTTATTTTTCTGTTGATCGATCCACGCACCAATTATTGATGGAAACAAAAAGGTTTTGTCGGCTGTGAGCGATTCACCCCTTCTAATTTGGCCCGATAGCCGCGATCGGTGAAAGAATATCCATCGGCGTTGTTTTTTATTACATCGGTCATGTGGAAGAAGAAAAGGGTAGTTGCAGAAGGTGTCAGCCCCTATTTAAGTCGTGTTGACGAATATTTATAGTGATATTTGTTAGCCGTAGGGTCCTCATGATTATTAGTAAGTTGATTGACTAGATAGATTTAATAGTTATACTTAGAATTTCGTTTTAGTGAGTCTATTAAATTTTTTATCTACATAATGTAGTTGGCTGATGGAGTATTATCAGTTTTCAGTATATTTGATTCAATGGAAATTTGAGGATTTTTAAAGACCTATCTTAGGAAGTTTTCTAGTTTACTATGAAAAAGATTGCCTTGAGGCAATGAAAGACACAGTGAATGCGTTGGTCCTGTAAGAATGCCTGTAAAATCTTACCAAAATGTAAAAATGTTCGATTGATATTAGTTTGGTATCCATTTTCGTAGATGCACTTTTATTCAAACATAAAGGACTATTTGTGTAGTTTGTCAAAAAGATAAAAACAGAACAGTAACTGCCAAGGGCATCAAGGATGTGTTGTAAAAAGAATACATGTGTTTCTGCCTCTGGATTACTTCTGTCTTAAAATCCTCCCCCGCTTTACACCTATACCATATGCAAAGGAAGATCCAATTTTCCAAAGAGTGGTGACAGATTGTTCCGTTTCTCTCTACGAATTAAAATGAAAATAAAAAACCCAATTCTGAAAAGTCCATCTTTTTATCATTGAAGAATCTTTTGGTGGGAAAAAAATGTTGATTTTGATCGGGTTAAGTGTTCCGTCATTGATGGATTTGGTAATAGCTGGGATTTCACTGATGATTGGTTTGGGGATTTTCGCCTTCATTGCTTCGATTATTTGCTCTGCTGCTTTCTTGCACCATGCTAAATGCGTCTCTTGATTTCATGTTCCAATGCTCGCAGGTAATCTCTTTGTTGAATACCCTTGGTTTGGTGTTTGTTGATTTGCCTGAGCGTGTCTATGATTCCTTTGATTTCGTTGGTTTCTGGGTTTTTTTTATTTTTTGAATTGAAACATTCTGTCTGCTTTTTTACTGCCTGGAAACCTATGTTCTATCTTCTTCAGGTGACAAAAGTGGCAAGACTTGGAATTTCGATGTGGAAAAGCTATTTTTGCAGCAGTTGCAGTACTAGTAGATGGGTTGAATTCTTAGTCTTTTAGATATCTAATTTCAGAATGTATGAAACTCTCCGATATTAAATAATAGTAATAGTTTCTGTAGTGTCGAAATGACAATTCAAAGATAATAATCTCATGATAAATGGTATAAAAGTATATTCTTATAAAAGAAAATTTCGATGATCACATCAATTGATTGAAAGAACAGAATGTGGTATAAAAGTGGAATGAAGAAAAGGAAAACAGATTATTTCTTCTTCTTTTGCTTTCTAGAGTAGACCATGCCTCTAATTCCGTCAGGATCGGAGACGAACCCGAGAGGCCTATAGAACCCCAACACCCTTGGTTCCGAGTACAAAGCAATATTACAAATACCTTTCTCCAACAGTTCCTCGATCAACCGTTCCATCACAGCTTTGCCAAGTCCGATCCCCTGGAACGAAGCGTCGACCACCACGTCCCATATTATAGAATTGAAAACGCCGTCTCCCGTCGCTCTAGCGAAGGCCACCGGTTTCTGGCTCCTCTTGTGCTCGACCCAGAGCAGGGATTGCGTGTGTTCCAGTGCCAGCTTGATCTTCTCCGGGTCACGCCTGGGGAATCCGACGGCTACGAAGACGGAGTTGAGGTGGTCAAGGTTGAGGTCGGAGATCGTGCGGCGCAGGATGAAGCCTCGGGACTCGAGGTCCTTGTCGGAGATGGAGTATTTGCATGTCGTGGGGAAAGGGATGGCGGGTGTTCGGAAGTTGGAGATGATGCCACGCGAAAGCATTGGTGAAGAAATGAAATGAATGGATAAGGAGAGAGATGGCTCTTTTTGTTTTGAGAATTATGTGGTCGTTAATGGCGGTTGGGTGGGTCTTGGGAGGTTAATAACTGATAGGATTGGCGGCAAAATATGGGTCTTTACTGGGCTGTAGGTAAGGCTATAGTTGTAAATGAGTAGAGTTGTAAATGAGTCGGGCTTAGGTTAATAATATTTTGTTTATGTTCGTTTATTTTTTTTTAAATTGTTTATGTTTAGTTTATAACACGAACCTTAATGACTTCGATAATAAATGAATTGTTGTTATTTCTTGAAGTTTCTGGTTTGAACACCATGAATGTTAGGAGTACGAGTGTTCAATGTCAAAGATTGAGAGTTATTTTTGAACATATATTACCTTATATTTATCTCATATTAATAAAAAAATTGTAATATTATGTTCGTTTTCATTTTTTTATTTTTAAGGTGTTCATGTTTGATCCGTTCGTTTAGCATTTGAAAACATATCTATTTAATGTTCACGAACATATTCATTTATATATTTATCAACATATATACATTCATCAATATATTCGCTTGATGTTTGCAAACATATTTGTTTATATAATACGAATCCCCTCGACAACCAACACTTTCTTTTTAACCTTTTATTTGCGAATAAAAAATAATGAAAATACAATAAAAAATTAGTTGACCCTTATTCTCATATGTAATGAGGTAAGGGGATGTATGATAGTAGACTGCCCCTAACACCAGGTTGAGAGCAACTTTCGTGGGAGACCTCCGAATTATGAATTGCCCACCGTGAGACTTGATCTCACAACCCCAAAGTTAAGAGCCTTGTGCTCTATCAATTGAGCTGAACGGGCAATTACAACAGTACTCTTTAAATTCCTTGAGCTTCACAATTTAAGTTTCAAAGTTAACCGTGTATTCAGTTTTGTCCTTACATCCACAATATTTAAAATGTAAAAAAAGAAAAAAAAAATAAGGTAAGCGAGCTTATAAGCATGCTAATAAACAAACTTATAAATGAGATTGTTCATGAACACAAACGAATCAAGCATACAAATATTTTTGTTTGTTCGTTTATTTAACTTAATAAATAAACATTATACAAATGATTCATGAGTAACTCATCGAACGTTCTATTCATTCAATAAGACTACTAAAAGAATTTAAAAATAGAAAGTCAATTCAAATTTTAGTTTTTAAAAGGTTTACGGTTCCAATAAATAATAAATTCAAGATTTTATATAAAAGATGTCAAACTATTTATCATTTAATCTAACAAATTCATACCACCATCTTTTAACATCGTTTTTATACTCAAAATTATTATAATATCAAATCGAATCCCTCAAAA